TATTAAAACACAGTGAGTCATTTTCTTCTATGTGTGTCTTCACCAATGTCATTTGTATGAGGCTCAAAAACAAATCAATGATTCTTTTTGCTGTAATTTGGCCATTTTGCCAATTGTCTCTACTATATCAATATGTAAATCCCATTACTTTAGAAGTGAGGTAAAATATAAAGTTGGGTGACTGCTTCTTGGTAAACTGTAGAATACCTAAACATAAACCTGATATGCTTCCTAAATTACAGTACTTGCTTTAGTTCAAAACCCTTTAAGATGGTGTACAGTATAATGGGACTAATGCCAAAGGGTGTGATCACTGAGAAAGTGATACCATTGGTTTCCTGCTACAGAGAATTGATGGGCAGCTGAAAATCATGGCCAAAGCAGTACAGGCTTATGGTGTGAAGATGAGAGCATACTGTGTTATTGGGAGGTCAGTTCCCAATAACACAGAATCAAATTCAGTGCAGCAGTGTTGCTAAAAAAATATACCCACAATACTTGAATACCATTCTAGAAGGCAAAGAGTTTGCTTCTAGTTGATTAGCAGAGGCACTAGGATTAGAAGTGGTTGAAGTAACACTACTGTGGAATGAAGTTAGGGGAGCTACACCTACTTACACAGTATTGACTGTGCCCTGGGGGACTTGTCTGAAGATTTCCACAGGTCCAATGAGTACAACAGTACCTCTGCCCTAGCTGACTGACCTGAAACATAAGAAGGGCATTGTGTCAGCAGATTATCTTCTAAGGGCATCAGATATTATTTTCCAACCTCAGGGCCACATACGATTCAAATTGCAGGGGCAAAAACCTATTAAAAACAGCACACCTAGATAATTTAAAAACCAAAGACAATGACATTTCAAACAAAGTTAAATCATCCTCAAAAGCAAAATCTATTATCTCCATCTATTATCTCTGTCTCTTGATGTTTGAAATGTAAAGGTCGGTGTAGAAAACCTGCAATATGAGGCTAAGGATCTCACTGGCACAGGACACAGACCAAGAAAACTCTCTGGCTCAGTTTCTGCCATTTTTTTATTACTACATTAATACAGTCTTTAGTGAAAGACCACCCTGAGGCCACCCACACACTTAAGCAACACCATTCAAGTACAGAACTGATAGATAATATACGGCAGCCATTTTAGCTTAAGTTGATCATCTGCTGGGGTCAGAAAGAAACTTCCCTTTCTCCTTCTATTTCACTAATAAAATAATGGCAAATTGGTTAGATGTATTTTTTTATTTATATTTTGTTCCTATCTTCAGACGCTTTAGTAAAGGCCTGGTCTGGTATAGAAAACCAGTTGAAAACTGCAGAAAACGAGGAAAATATTTTTATACATACCTGTAGAGAAAACAGCATGTGAGATACAGAGGTAATTTTAGGGGATCTGAAAGCCTGAAAATATTCCTTTACCATAGTTATCTTCCAAACACAGTAATCCTAGTTACTCTTCCCTGTAGAACAATGATTATCAACCAAAGTGTTGCAGCACACTGGAGTGCTGCAAGATCCTTCAAAGGGTGCTGTGCAATATTACCATTGTTAGGTGTACAAACCTAGCATAAACACCTAACATAATACCCGCACCTGATTCACAAAATAAACCCAGAGATCTCAAATAGTACTGTCATCCATAGCGTCAAAAACATTCAAACCTGTTTTGGTTGTTGAGTTCTCTGCAACAGAAGAATCGCTCTATTTTTAACATGGTCAAAAAAATGAGTGAAAGCTAAGACTTGGCACTTTCTAAAGGGGGCCTGGAGTCTAAAAAGGTTGAGAACCACTAATGTAAAGACATTTTTTTTTATCTGGCAGACTAGGTCTCTACTCTGCTGACAGCCACACCCTTCATGTTAAAAAACAACAAAAGTTGTTGTCTGTCCCTTATTGCACATGCTGAAATAAGATACTACAGTCAGCCTGTGAGCAATCCAACAAAACACCCCATGTCTGAATACCCCACTCCCTCATATGCCACAGGGAGATCTCACAGTCCACAAAAAGGGATAAGAATGCATGCTAAACATAGCTTACAAGAAAGCAGAATTTAGAGATCTCTGACCCTATAACTAAAATTTAGGAGGATCTTCTTTCAAGTGGGACAAAAAAGAGTGTGCCTTGCTTAGATGATACACATAGTAGGGCTTTTGTCTTGCATGAAATTCCAATTTACTGTCAGGTATCTACTGTATCAATAAGAAACTTGATTTCACAGCAAACTCCCCTTTATATCTGCCTTCTTCAATAGAGAAGTCTACACAGTTAGTTCAGATCCACTGTCATGCATGTCTTTATGCAACTCCAGCTATTCCAAGGCACAGCATAATCTATAAACACATTGTAAATTGAATGCTATTGCCCAAAGCACAAAGAAACAAATAAGAATTCCTTTACCTCAAAGTAATCTGCTGGGAAAGACAATCATGCCTTGCTTGTCTGCAATTGATCAACATCCTGTAACTGTGAGAGTAAGCTTTCATCTACTATTTGGTCATTGGAACAGAGCATTACAGAAGCTTTTTTTTATGGGATTATTTTTGGAAGCCATTTGCTATGGCATGGGGGGTCAGCAATATAAACACGGGGCCTTTTTCAATCTTACTTACCCTTCCAGGGAAGGGAGATGTTTGGAGATGGAAGATATGTACCCTTTTCAGTTTCTTATATATTCCTCTTTTTTTCAAGTATGCAATTAAAGGGCAGAATCCTGCAAGATCCTATAAGAGTAGGACTCTGCCTAATGTGCTGTTAAGATTTATAAGCTTTTAACTTATTACTACTTATTTCAGAAATGTTTTATTACATCATAATACCGGGCTAAGAAACAAGTCCAGTAATCCAAAATTTAGCATTTTCACACCAGTACGTACTTAAGCTACATTCTGAAACCATACCAAAAACCTGCTGATTTGATCTACCGATGCCTCCAAAGTACCAAAGAATAATAAAATCCAGAAGAGTTCATGGAGGCAATTGTTAAAGAAACCTGATGCAAGGATAACATCTATACACAACAGCTTCAGCCTACTGGGAGCTCTGACTAGGAAGACTGCTCTGTTAAGCCAAAGGGAGTCCAGGTGGAAACAAGGAGGTTAACAACACAAAGCTTCCTGCAGGGTCAAGACCTAACCCCCTCTTTAAAATGAAGCTAGTGAGCAAAACAGCACTATAAAGGTTGTGCCAGCAATCTGGGATTTGAGTTAAGAGCACAGAGATTTAAATTGCCTATGACTGTGGAAGATGGCTGTGGTGGTTACCTGTGACACGTTAGGGTACTGAATCTTGTGTTGTGTCAAGTTGGTGGTAGTCTTATGAAGATCAGTGGTGCCCAAACTTATTCCACTTTAGGCAGTGAAGAAAGGACAATGTTGAGAGTATCCGTGGACCAAATCTAAATCTGATCTGGCTGTGCAGGGTGGGGCAGAACGAGTGTGGCCTACCCCCATCCAGCTGTGTGGTTGAGGGGTGTGGCCCGGCCCGAATCCAGTTGTGCTGGTGGAGAAAGAGGCAAAGCCTAGCACCAATCCCACCACACTGTGGGGAGAAGGGGGTATGGCTCAGCCACAATCCAGTCATGTTGGGGAGAAGGGGACATGTCCCAGCTCACAGGGTTTGGGAATCTGGCAGCGAGGGAGGGGAGGCAGCATTACTTGTCACCACTCCACCCACCACAAGACTTCTGAACCTGTGGGGAGCTTCGTGGGTCAGATGCCATGGCTCTGCAGGCCACATTTGGCCCGCATGCCAGAGACTGAGTTCCTGTGTTTTAAATGATAGGTTGTACCGGATGGTTTGGAAAGGAATGATCCTGCCTCAGGCAGACGGTTGGACTAGATGACCTTTGAAGGTCCCTCCCAGCCTGACTTCTCTGAGGTTTTTATGAACCTCCCGTCCTGTTCCCTGGAGCCGCCAGCCTCCTCCAGGCCCTGGCTCAACTCCATTCAACCTCATCTTGTGACTGGAACATGTCAGTGAAATGCTGGTGCTGAATTACTTCCTCCTTGATCCCAGTCTACTAGACAGCAGCAAACAGTGTTACCAGGTCTTAAAGATAAAATTACCACATTGGAAGCTCAAAATGACCATATCTGCTGAAAAACTATCCTACACTGAACAATATGCAAATAAGTCTTTTTCTTATTTACTTTCTCTTGCTCCTTGTAAAAAGCCAGTGAGTGAGAACTGGGTCATCAAAGTTGAAGCACTTCTTTATTTGGAGGCAAGAAGTCATCATAAGAAAGGGGTAACAGCACACCCAGAAGTCACCTAAGGCTCCCCCAACCCCAAGAGGGACTTGGGTTTTGCATGTCCTGCATCAATGAGCGCCCTCAAAAATGACGGTTTAAAAGCTTGCTTAATAATTGTTCGCCAACTATTTAGTTGGTCTAATAAAAGATATCAGATTCACCCAAAGAACCTTGTCTATGTCCTTAGACTAACACAGCTACAACCTACACCCCTCAAAAATGATGGTATTTTGGACACTTTTACTCATTTGGCCCGCATGCCAATGAGTAAAAGTGTACATTGTACAAGGGTACATTGTACAAGGGTGGAGATTATTGTACAAGTATGATCATTATGGTCCACCTGGCAACCCTGGAAGCAAAGTTCTCCGCCCAAAATCACTTACGTGGCCTTTTCTGTGGCTTTTGCAATTCCCTGACCAGAAAAGAGGCTCTGGCCTGGGGGTCCCCTCCCGCCCGTGGGGCCTCTCCTGGCAGAGTTTCATAGGGCAACGCCCACGGCCTCCTTAGCCTCGCTGACAAGCCCGTAGACGCTGGCCCGTGCCCCAGCCCATCTTCTCCCTCACTGCCCACGTGTCGGCTTCACTGTGGGGGCGGGGCAGCCTTCACACGCCTGCCACAAACGTGCCCCTCCCCTACACGCCCCTGCGGCCGTTACAGGCTAACGGAAGCGTCATCGCCATAGCAACCCCCCCCCCCGACCGCGTGACAAGTCCGCGGGAGCTGAGCCGGGGGCGGTGCTGGGGTCACGTGATCCCCGCCCAAGCTGGCCAACATGGCGGCTCCCACGCGTGGCGTCGGCTGCCTTTGTCGGCTGGCCTGGCGCCGCCGTGCAGGGGCCTTGCACAGCGGGGAGCAGCCCGCGGCGCTCGGAGGGGTGCCGGGGAAGGCTGAGGCGGCGCAGAGCGGGTAGGGCCCGGGGCGGGGAGGGGGAGGCCTGTCCACTTGGGGCGCTCCCAAAAGCTCCCCCGCCGGCCTACGTCAGGGCCCACGTGGCCCACCGTAGAGGTTGACCCTGCAGAGCTTCCCTCCCACTTGCCGCGTTCTGCCCCAGCCGCGCTGGGTACGTCAGGGCTCACGTGACCTGCCCCAGCTACTCCGCCCGCGGCTTCCCCGCGCCACGCTGTCTGCCTGGGCAGGTCTTCTCCCCGTCCCCCTCCCCCCAGCTGCTGGCAGAGTTGGTGCTGGGGGGCTGTGGATTTATTTTGGTTTTACATTTATTAACACTTATAATTTATTGTAACCATCACCTACCTCATCATATACTTCCCCCCCCTCCAGTTGCCCTCTTTTTTGGAACTGAAAATACGGTAACTAGGGTTGCCAACTCTGACTGAAGCTATTCTGGGAGATTTTCTTTCTTCCCAACATGATGTAATGTTATTAATTTAATTAATTTTCTTAAAATCTCCTGGATTTCTTTCAGTAGTCGCTAGGAGATCAGTGCTAATTCCGGTAGACTCCCAGCCAGTCGGGGAGGGTTGGCATCCCTAACGGTAGCCCTACCTGACTGCTAAGCCTAAACCATCATCAGGCCCAAGGGATACTAGACCTCAGGGAAAAAAACTGTCAGCAGGCAGTGATTTAATGCAGACCGATTTTGAAGGTATCCAGGTTGTAGCTGTATTGATCTAGAGGCAAAAGGAATCAAAACTCATGGAAGAGGTGATGTCTTTTATTAGACCACCTAGATTTTTGCAAACCAGCTAGATATTGGCTAGGATGATCTAGTTGGGGATGGTTCTGCTTTGGGGAGTTGGACTACATGACCTCCTGAGGTCCCTTCCAACCCTCACTTTCTATGGTTCAAACAAATTATTTTATTTATTTGCAAGCTGTTGGGCACACTCACCTTTCATCAGATATAGGAGAGAGCAGAAATTGTAAAAGTTCTCCTGGATAGAAATGAAAATTCATATTTTACAGAAGAGCTGAAGGTGTGGTAAAATCTGTTTGGAATAGTTAATTTTGTCCAGGCACAGAGAAAGCCTGAAAAGGTCTTTTTACCTCAGAGTTGTCTGGCGACAAGCAGGAGGTAGAAGCATATTTCCGCTGGTCTTGCTGCCCAAGTGCGGGGGGGGCTGGACCCGATGATCTGTAAGGTCCCTTCCAGCCCCTAAAAAATTATGAAACTATGAAAGAATGCTTAGCCTTAACGTTTTGGAAATTGAACAGTGGCACAGGAAAGAGCAAGGAAAAGAATGAAACCAAAGGAGAAGATGAAGGAATCGGTCATCTTTAGAACTTAGTAGGAGAAAAGGTGAAGAGAGAACAAAACATTCAGTAACCAAATCAAAAAGCAAAGCTCTGATTTGTTCTAAAAGCTTGAGGCTGTTCAACATCTACACGAAAGAAAAGCAGCTGAAAGACTGTACGAGTAGTAGATTGTGGTCGGCAGGCGCAAAGAACTTAAATGCTGGAAAGTTGTTGTTGGTTTTGGACAACAGCTTAAATAGATTCCCCTAAATCAGAAAGTGAAAAGATAGGTCGGAGCTCCAGATCAGTGTCCATGATTTCAGTTGCTAGTTCAGAAGACTCATGCCATACTGTAGTAAACTACTTCAAGACCTGACTTCTAGGCAAGGGGGGAAGCCACCAGCCTTGCCAGGGCCCAAAAGTTAGGGGCGATTACATGAGACTTCTGGCTGTGGACTCCAGCTAAGGATGACAGTCATAGGTCTGTAGGCATCAGCTGGAGCCTAGTGCAGTTGGTGAAAGGCCCAAAAAGGCCATTGGGAGTTGTGGTGCCCTTTGTAGGGTGTTGACAGGACAGCAGTCTGGTGCACCTGTGGAAAACTCTCATACCCCCATGAAAGCCAAGGCTTTGACCTGCATGGGTCTGAACACAAGATCAGGGGATTCTTGTGGGACACTTTGAAGATTGTGTTTAGGAAGAAGAAGAGCTTTAAAGGAGCTGGTTGTGCAGGGAAAATTAAGCCAAACTTTAGATTTTGGTAGTAAAGGAGCCTGGTCTATACTTGCGACGTGTCCCATGCCATGGCGGAAATAGTTTCTAATTCATTATTCAATAAACATTGGAAACAGAACATTGCACTAGGATGGCTGGAATCAACTAAGAGTGTGCCATAACCACAAACTAAACTGATTAGCTTTGCATCTGAGCTACAATCAGGCCCCAAAATGGGGCCATTTAAGCATTTTCGGACTGAGAATCTTGCCACTTTCTAGTGTACTCTGATCAGCAGCAAAGTAATTTAGCTTTGATATTTAAATTGTCGTAAGTGATTTATGCAGATTCCAAGTTAATTTTGAATGCGAGCTCTCCATATTTATCAGAGTTGTTCTTTCAGGCCCTCTGCAGACTCTGGCAATCATCAGTGCATTGTTTTACGCTCACTTTATAGTTTGGAGACTTTTCTTTCTAACTATAATAGCTAAATTCTTATTGTTTTTAAAATGAAAACTGAAGCTCTGGTGCATAAGATTACAGCCATCACAAAAAAGTACCTGCTAATTGAGTCACCATGAGTGAATCCAGTATGAATTGTAGAAATGCAGAAAGAAAACACTTATGCACATGCTTAATTTCACTGGTCCTGAGTTTCATTGGTTTAACTGGTTTCCAGTTGATGTAATTGGAGTCACTGTGGTGACTCCTGGTAGCAGAGCTTTAAAAAGTTTGCATAAGTTTTTGAAGGATTGAGGACTGTTGCTTTAAATATTCTAATAGGTCTGCAGTTGAAAACTAGGTAAGGCTCTTCATTTTTAAAAATGTAATTTTGTATGGTTCCAGTCAGCATACACAAACAAAAATGGTTGTAGAAGACTTTATTTGAATGCCTGAAAGTCCTACATGATGGTATCTGCCTTCCTTTAATGAGTGATTTATGTAAGATACGCTTGATTAAGTTTTGGTGATCTGTAGTGATGTCCTCAGCTATTGGAGGACAGATGCAGAATTCAAGTCTTGGCAAGTAAAAATTGCATTGTGTTCACCTTTGAAAGAAACACTATATTTGATATATTTGTTTAATGTTTTTCCATAGCCCACTTATCTGTTATAACTATCTTGGTACTTATATTTGCTGAAGTGTCCTGCCATAGAAATGTGATTTCACCACTGAAATATTATTTGTGTCACTTCGTTCGTACAAGGCCAGATAATTACTTACAGAAACCATTGAGCCATTCATACTGTAAAGGTGACCTCTTTCTCTTGTCCATATAAAGGTTATGGATGTGAGAATTGCAATTACTTTTCAGATGATATGGAGAAGCTTTATCTGTAGAGCATGTTCAAAGAGCAGTCACTCTCCAGTTGAAATGATGATTTCTCTATTACCAGACTACTAATGTTTATGCTAATCTGATACTAACATTGCTCTGGAGAGCCACCTTTCCCAGCATGCTAGTGACTAGCTGATAATGTATACATAATTTAATATGCCACCTGTTTGTTGGAGACTTATCAAACTACTTGAGAAGCAGTTGATATTTATGATAATTTCATAATTTCCATGGGGTACGAAATTGGGGGTTTGTGCAGTATGTTCCTTCACCTTGCTAATTTCAGCGCAGCTTCTCATGGAAAAGTTTTCAGATTCATACTTTTATTCTCATCTACTTAAATCGTCTTTAATGTGTACATAATAAAAACACTTGGCCGCACTATTTGCCTCAAGATTTCTAAGATTATAAAATATATAGATTAGACTGTGGCCTCCAATGCAGCGGCACAGGACCACAACACACTATTAAATGGCAATTTTTTTTGTTATTTTGTCTTGTCTTGTATAGATTTTCCTAGATATTAATGTAGTGATGCACACTAATTATATGTTATTTCTCCTCTTTTTCAGTGTTGCTCCCTGGAGAGCAGTGGTGGGTCTGGAAATTCATGCGCAGATCAATTCCAACGCCAAGATTTTCTCTGGCTCCCAAGTGCAGTTTACAGCACCCCCTAACTCTTTGGTATCTTTTTTTGATGCTTCTCTACCAGGAACCTTACCAGTAAGTTGCATTTAACCTTACCTTCTCTTACAACCGAACCTTAACAATTTTGCTGAGCAGATTTCTCAAGGCACAATTTTTATCTTTCCTTGTTCATAAGTGTTTAACTCTAGCCCTGTTCTTGAATTTATCTGCCTGCAGCTCCTGCTTGGTAACTTCAGATCTTTATTTTAATATTCTTTGAGTAATGTATGTTGTAGTTGTGTAACCACAGACCTCTGAAAATTTCTGCTGAGGAAGTAATGCAGGATTAAGGGTAAAAATTCTATGAGCCCAGAGTGAGTGTATTTGCAGGGTAATGTTGATTGATGTTTGTTGGTCATATTGTATTTAGTTAGTAAGCAGCACTAGAAGTTCCTTAAATATTTGGAGGTATTAAAATCTTACAAAGATGAGCATGTTATGTCAAGCAGCTATTGCCATTACTTTGCCATATGTGTTTTCATGTAGCTGTCATTTACTGTTTGGAATGCCTCAGAGTTGTTTTTTGAAGCAAAACCCATCTGATTTGGAAAACTACAAACCGTTCTTATTTTTTATTTATATTATGGTATAAATATGCATAAGACTTTACAGAGTAGTAAAAGAGGGATTATGGAGATAACTCTTAGTCCTAAGAATTTATTGGTGGCAACATAATTCTTTTTTAGTTTAAAGTCTCATTTGAATTTCTCAGTATGATTTTTCTCTGAGGTGACCATGACAGTAATTCTTGTGAGTACTTGCACATTGTAAAGCTCTTGGGAATCCTTTTTGGAGAGAGGTGCCATATAAATGTAAAGTATTATGTATACAAATTTGATGTGTTTGAAAAAGTAACTATTGAATAGGCTTATTCATACATCAAGTATATTCTCTTGTGGTCTTTGTAAACAACTATCAGTGGAGTCAAATTATTTAAAGCAGAAGTGCTTCACTGACTGACTTCATTGGAAGTCAAACCTGAATTTCTTTTATTGTCCTATTTGAACACTTTCTTCTCTGAAAAAGAACAGTAGGTGGGATTTTGAAATTAAGTATAAACCTCTGGAAAGGCACGTAGGATCTTGGGGGAATCTAAACCACATGGAAAACGCCTTGGGGAGCTTGAGAACAGAAATGTGACTTCAGTTAGAAAGTAAAAGGTATTATGAAAAGTAAAAGTACTTCTGGAAGTATTAGAAGGTGGATGAGGTGGTATAGTTTATATTAGATTATTGGATTGGTGGTAAATTCCAATGAGCTGTCACAGAATAATGAAACTACCGCAAGGGAGGGTTGAATTCTTATGAGTACACTGTTTTCAAAAGATTTCTGGTATCGTGTATGGAAATCGTGAGAGTAACTGTTTTCAGGAGATGTTGGTGGGACTGAATTGGAAAATAAATTCCTTTTTAATTTTGAATCTAGTACATAGCCAAAAACCAGGAAGGCAGGATTAGAGCATGGGTTTTATGTCTGTCTATCCTTCCTTTCCACTGTCATTTTTGCTGTGGTTTAAGTTCAAGGTTCTGCTTTTGGCCCATGTAGTTAATACTTGGTCAGTGAGTGGAAATCAAAACACCTAATGCATATATTGAATCAAATTGGAAGTTGCCCAGGAAGAAAAAAAAATAGGCCAAAGCATGGAGGAATCATAGTTTATGGAGGGTTTTCTGGCTCTATATTTCTTTGTTAAATAAAAATATCTTTTTTCCTCAAGATTTGTTTTCAGTCTGATTTTTGCTCTTTATAAAAGGGGCTGGCTCTTGCTTTCAGGAGCGTTTCCTAGCAGAAAATCATGGGCTTCACCAGCTACAGACTTTGGTGGAGAAGATAACTGCACCTGATTAACAAAGAACGTGATGATTAGATTAATCAAAAATTAGTGATACTGCTCTTGTTTGCCTCCTTCAACTGCTTTTATCTGTATGGGGAGGGGGGATCCTATTTCAAATGCAATGAGGGCAGAGTTGAATATTAATATATTTAAAATTTTCTTGTACTTGTTTGTAAGACTGTAGTATGGAGCCCCTTCTTTATGTAAGCTTTGTTTTCCCAAAGCATTCACTACATTTTCCAAGACTAATCTTTGTTTTGGCATCAGAGGGCTGATTTGTTTAGGCATGTGCATTAGAAATATCTGGAGAGTGATAGGAAATGATATTTTTGCAAATCTTCTAAATAATTTTAGACCAAAATTTGTACCTTTCTTAAAGTTGTATGATTTTGCTGGAGTAAGTCTCTCTAGGATCTCAGTAACTAATATTTCCTTTGAACTCTTGCTATTTTGCAGAGAAACTAATAAGAAAAGCAATATTTTAGTAGAACTGGGAAAACGCAATATTTGTGCTGTGTCTGCAGCAGAGGATAACTACTGTAATAAATGTTGTTCTGAGAACTGTAGTGACAGTTATCAGAATCACAGGGATTTAAATTTATGGAGGGATCATCCGACAGTAGCAAAGGAGGACCATCTGTGTATTACTGTGCCTCCTATAATGCTTCCCCAGTGGTGCCAGAACAAATGGCACTAAAGGAAACTGATATGATTGCCATACATTTCTGGATCACTAGTAGAGTACAGATGTGCAAGTGTCACATCCATTTCATCATGCTGCTGCTCATGATGTGCTTTTGAGGAAAATCTGTGGGCATGAGCCACAGTGCAGCTGCAATCCTATTTGGAAATGAGGTAGAATTAAGGGATAGTTTGTGGAGTGGCAGGGGGTAGGGGAGGGAGGGCCCACATATCTTTCCCAATGGCAGCAGTAAACCACAGCTATATTCTTCTGCCTTATACTATAATCCTATATAATTTTGCTCCTCCTGCCATGGAACTGTTGGAGAGAATTACCTCCTGATCAATCATGGTACTTTCCCAAGTATAGCATAGACAACTCTTCAGAGACTTATTTTATTCTCTGAGGGTTTTGCTGTCTTATAGAGTTCTACAAGAGCTTTTAAAACTATAATGTGCACAAGTGTGCACCTTACTTTTTTTTTTAACCACCTCTCCCCTAGGTGTGAGGGCTCGAGTGATGAGCTCTAGTTAGCTGCCTTTAATGTTAAACAGGGGTTTGGGCTGTAAATAACAGCTTCTGAAGATCCCTGCAATTGCACAGAGAGGTGACATGTGGCAGGCCCCATGTACCATTCTGTATATGAGCCATTAAGGCTACCTTATTTACAACCTGAGCTTTGTTCTGTTGAAGTTAATCAGGGTTGTTGCTTAATGGTAGATGAAATCAGGTCCATAATAAAACAACCAGGCGGATCTCAGCAACGCAGAATAAACCACCTAAGACACCCATGGGTAAGGCAAAGCCATTTAAATCATGCAAATAGCAAAAACCATTTGCCAAATTATGTTGCTTTTGATGTTAAAGGGGTTTGTTACATGTTACCTTTAGGTCATGCTAAATCAATGGAATATGATGGAGTACTAAAGTTAGAATGTGCTCTGAGCAGTTACATGTTTATGGGTAATATGGTCTCTGACCTGCACAGCTATCATTTGCTGCTAAAGGACTGGCAAGCAGGGTATGGTTAGAAGTAAGAATACCTGGGCTGCGAGGGTCAGGGAGGGAGAGGGTTGCAGCAGTGGGATCTTGGAGCTGGGAGGCAGTAAAGCATGGGGCCATGGGGCTCTTGTTTCCTCTGCAGGCCCTCTGAATTACTGCGGGGGGGAGCTCTGCTGCAGGGAGCCTTCCACCGACCCTACCCACCTGATCTCAGTTCCCACCTCCAACAGCTCTCCCTCCCGTCCCAGCCTTCTTTGGAGTGTGCTGTGTCTTTCCATTCTCCCTCCGTATTAAACCTTCGTAGCTCCGCACTCTGGCTTCCAACCCCTCTATGGCACAGCCTTCTTCCACCCTTTCTAGTCCCAGGCAAGAGTGAGGGAGGCGCCACAGTCCCCATCAAACCACCTGGCAAGGGAAAAGCTGGCCATGGTTGGGGTAAAATGGGGCCAGACCACGTGGGAAAATTTCAGTTAACATTGAGTAACTGTGGTTAGTTGAATTTTCCTGCAGGATTTGCTTGGTTCTAGGGCAAAGGTGAAGCCCTCTCCAGGGAAGGTTGTGAGGGGACTGGGATTGGGTTGGCAGGGGTCAGTGGAGGGCTTCGCAGCTTCATGGTCCTGCCACCACAGCACCCCTGCACTCGGCACTGGTGGGGTTCACACCTACCCCCAGGCAGTACCAGCCCTTGGGCAGTAGAGTTTGGAGGGTGGGTAGATCCTCCACGGTATTAGGAACACATTAGAGGCCTTGGCATAAGTGCCTCTGTCTTGTATATACCCTCCATTATGTAATTCATAGACTCATAGATGTTAGGGGATGGAAAAGACCTCACAAGGTCATCGGATCCGGCCTCCCTGCACTTGGGCAGGAAAGATTACTGAGGTCAGATGACCCCGGCAAGGTGTACGTCAAGTGTTTTTTTTTTAAAGATCTCCGGTGTATGTGATTGTACCACTTCTGTGGAGAGTCGGTTCCAAACCCTAGGCACTCGAATCATAAATAAATTTCTCTTTATGTCCATTCTGAAGCGATCTTCAAGCAATTTGTGTCTGTTATTTCGTGTCTTCCCCTGGGGTGCCTTGGTGAACAGATGCTCCCCCAGGCCTTGATGTATGCCCTTTGTATACTTATAGGCTGCACCAAGTCCCCTCTAGGTCGTCTTTTCTCCGGACTGAACAGTCTCATGTCTTTCAGCCTCTCCTCGTATGACCTGCTCTCCAGACCTCTAATCATGTGCGTGGCCCTCCTTTGGACTCTCTCAAGTTTCTCCACTTCCTTCCTGAAGTGCGGCACCCAGAACTGGATGCAGTACTCCAGCTGTGGGCTCACCAAGACTAAGTAGAGTGGGAGGATGACAGTCTTAGTCTTGCTTGAGATGCATCGGTAGTTGCATGCCAGTGTTTTATTCGCTTTGTCAGCTACAGCATCGCATTGGTGGCTCTTGTTCATTCTGTGGTCTATCACAACCCCCAGGTCTCTTTCAGTTTTGGTGCTGGCAAGTACAGCACTGCTGAACCT